TAGCCAGTGTGTTTCACAGAATATTTTTTTCAGGCATAAGTAATAGAGAGCCTGCGAGCAGGCTCACCTTTGAGTCATACACGCGAGCGGCGAAGAGCAAAGCGGTCCGGCGGAGAGGAGTCTTCTCGTCTCGCGGCTTTGCCTCTCGATTTCGCGCTCGCGGCTACGCCGCGCGCGCTTGTGCTCCAACGTGAGCCTGCTCGCAGGCTAAATAAGAGAATGCAGTTAAAATCGGAGAGTGTCAAACTTTGTCTACTTCAAAAATTAGTCAAAATTTGCTTCACAGGTTTAATTTTCCTGAAATTTTAGGTTTGTCCATAAGGGTAGATTTTGAGAAAAAAGCTTAAACAAAGTTTCTAATGCCCAGTCTTCTTTGAAGTCCTCAGTAGTTCATTTTGGCTGTTTATTAACGTTGTATTGTTCAAGTGTCGCAAAAGTTTTCAACTGTATCCGTTCGAACCGCTGAACGCACGGCAAAACTCCTGACATGATGACTAGGAAGACCACTTTCTGAAAACTTTCTCTGCCATGATTGTGTCGCATGAGTAAAAATTTCTAAAAGAAGAAAAATGTTGATCTGAGACGTGTTGCCTGTTTTGTTTGCAAGCAGAATATCACAATAATTAATCGCACGAAATGGACGTACATGTAACCGAACCAAGAGAAGATCTATGTAAGTTGTTATACCCCCCAACTCAAATACGTTTTCCGATTGGAGTAGAACGTGTCACGTGTCGTGGGTCAAAACTCGCTAACTCCCTGGGGAAACAACAACTTGAACTTTCCACTCGCACGTGATCATGTCGTGCTCCTTGAAACCGCGGCAAATTTGTGAGTCAGCCAGCTCTCTCAAGCGAAAGATTTCTTCGCATTTTTTCCTATTTTGAGTTGGGAGGTATAACAAAACACTTTATGACTGGTTCCGCGCGAAACAGTGAGTTTTGTGTCCCCTCGACCTCAATGAGGGTCTCGGGGAAACATAACTCACTGTTTCCCTCGGGCCAGTCATTAAGTGCTTATTATTCAATCTTCTCTTGACCGAACTTATCTCCCGTTAACATTTCGAACCTCAGTATAGGATAGAAATTTGAGACGTGGAAAATTCATTACAATATCTTAGTTTTGAAAGCGCGGTCTTCAACGTTGTATGTAGATGTGAAATTAGACGAAAATTGTCTTTTCCTGTCTTTCTGTTCTAAAACTTCGATATTTCATAAAAAAGACGGTTGAACAAGTCAAATTCGGTTAAGTTGGTAACACGGTTTACCTCTGAAGCACTGAGACAGTCAATCAACAGGGTTTTGCTCGAAAGCAACAAATCTAAAAGCGGAAAAAAAGAAAAACAATGTTAGTAGTAAGTAGATCGAACGTGAAACGACAGGACATTTCAGTGAAGAGGAAAAATAATTTCCACAACTACACCGTTTGGCTTTGGTCCGTTTCTTGTCCGTACAAGCTCGTGTGTAAAATGCCATTTATATAGACTACTGATATATTGGTCATTGACCAAGGGTGACGTCAGGACGGCAGGATATTTGCCGAGTTCCTTTTTGTGTGTTTGTGGGCCGAGGCGCAGTCGAGGTCCAACGATAAACATGCAAAAATAAGGACGAGGGCAATATCCAGCCATCTTGGCTTAACAAGCTTCATTAAATAAAGGATTTATTATATGACATCAAGGGACCATGATCTCTTGATGGCATTANCACGCAAAAATAAGGACGAGGGCAATATCCAGCCATCTTGGCTTAACAAGCTTCATTAAATAAAGGATTTATTATATGACATCAAGGGACCATGATCTCTTGATGGCATTAAGAACAACACTTTCTTGCAGGACCCGAGCAGGCAAAATAGCCCAATCTTGCCGGTTGGAAGGTTCGTCTTGCCAACTCGCGGAGCTGGACATGTAATAAATACCTCTTGATTTCTGCATAAACCTCTGTTGTTGGTAATATCAAATTTCTTGCTTACTATGTAAAACCGCTTGGATAATATCAAACTTTCTGCGCAATATAAAACAAATTTCTCAATAGAGCTTGTAGCTAAATATGAGAGTTGTCTCTGAATACGAATCTTGTGGCAAACCAACTTCCTGCGCAATTTAAAACTTGCGTCAAATTGAAAAACTTGTTGCCCAATACACGCCTAAAACCTACAGCAAAATAGAAAACGTACTCTCGAATTGCTAATAAAGAGCGGATAGAACTTGTGACAAAATATAGTTAAACCTCTACAATGGTCACCTGTTCACCTCGTGACAAAATTATCAGGCCGTTGTAGAGTGGCTTCAGTGAGAGCAAAAATTATGGGTCTGCACCAGGCCAGGACAATAACTCCCGCCCAGCTTTGTGACCAAGTGGACGCTATAAAGAGAAGGCCGTCAGCGGGGATTCAAATATAAGAAACCTTTTTTAAATAGAACACTTCTAACAAAAATTAACTGGGATTGTCCCGAATTAATGACTTGCGGTATAGTAGACACATTTTTGTGCAATATAAGACTCTTAACTTTTTAACAGAAAACTTCTAACATAATATAAGAATTGTCCCGAATGAAAAACTATAATATAGAGCTTACTTCTAAATACCTATACAAATTTGTGGTGAAGTATAGAACTTCAATTCCAGCGTAATGTAATTATACAATTTGTTGCTCCATAACTTGTGAAAAATGTAAAGCTTATTTCTGAAAACAAGTGTAAAACGTGGGAAAATCAAAGCTTCCTACGTAACAAAAACTTGTTGGTCAATACAAATAAAAGTACTTGTGACGAAGTATATAAGCTACCTCCGACTATGGATCTTGTGGGAAAGAGGAAACTTGAACTTTTCGTGCAATATAGAACTTGTAGCACAGAGCAAAGTCGTATTAGACTGGCTGAGTAATTTGTGTTATTCCAGAATGTCTTCTCGCATAAGTCTTGCTGAAATATAGGCTTAAACTAAATTTGTCGTGGACTCACTCGGCTGCGTCTCGTATGTCCACAACATTTTGACCACTGTGATGACGCATATCGTCGATAAGACTACAGACAACGCTAAACCACATTCGATTTGTTAACTTAAA